CATCCCCATGGCCCTGTCAGCGTTGTCTTAGTTAGGAGAAACAGCCAAGGTTACCTTGGGCCAGCTTAGTCTGCAATATATTACAGGTGCTAATTTTTGTTTCCATAGCAACTGCTCCTGGAGCGCTTCCTCAACCGGGCAGCCGTGGCCTTCCAGAACCTCTTCATGGCAGTGGAGGACCACTTTGAATTGTGCTTAGCTAAATGCAGGACTTCGTCCCAGGTCAGAAGCTGTGAGACCTGTAGCTTGGGGGTGAGCCGGGTCTAGAAGAAAACTTGAAAAAATGTGTATCTGTTCAAAGCCTCCTCAGCTTATATTCCTAGCTGGTTGGCACTTGACTTTAAGTGGAAGCTTACCTTATTTTAAGCTGGGGTGGTGTTTTCATAATCCAGTTCCTGAAAGACAGTCTCACTTTGAAATTTGACCGAGACTTCCCAGCTACCACTTGTTTAGTTAGTAGTAGTTTGTTCTGCCACTTACTCAAGGGGAGGCGGCAGGTGGCTGTTTAAAAATACAGAGAAATCTGTAGGTTGTCAGCTTTCTGTTGGCATGCTTTGCTTGTGGGCGCAGCCATGGCACCTGCACGCTGAACCGTGCACAGACCAGTTTGGGCATGATGCCCCATGATGGCACTGGGCTGGGATGAGAAATGGGATTCACTTGTCTCATTCTCGGGAACTCTTGTGCTGGTTGCCTGGTCCTGCAGTCCATCTTTAGATTTCTGCCTCTTGTCCTGCCTCTGCCTTGCTCTTCGTGTCGTCAGCATCACCGGTAGCTGTTTCAAGGTTTATGTCCTGAGCACCTGCATACGCGGACGCCTGACGCGCTTGTGCTGAGCGCTTTCCACTCGAATGGGCTTGAAAGGGAGCACGGAGGAATCCGTGCTGGCCACTCTCAGTGATTCAGTTTCTCTCCTTCTGAGAGCTGCTGTGGGAAAGACAGTGTTTTCTTTCTTTAGCTGATGAAATCCAGGTGTTCTTTCCAGTGGTTGGTGAAGATACTCAACTTTCTGTCTTTTTATTGTAGAGATTGTCCAGTTGCCAGTTTACTTTGATTGCAGCGTCCCACTTGGCAGTCTGTCTGTAACTTGGATTAATACTGACAATCTAACTGTTTAGCGTTGCTCTTGGAGTAATTAATGAACTCTGGACTAGCCAAAAACCCAAGTTGCTTGTGTGAAAACACTTTGCTGAAAAGTTAGCCATCAGGAATGATTCTGTTTTAGATCACACTTCCGGTTTGCTTAGCCAAATGAGGCTTGGGACATTGTGTGACTTGGCTTGCGTGCAAGTCTTAGGTACATACAGCCGGGAAGGCGGCAGGAAGAGCTCCTCGTCGTCTCCACAGGCTTCCGTAGCACACTGGACCTCGCAGGGGAGGTCTTAATCTGACTTCAAATGATTTGAGAGAAATTAGTTGTCTTGATTGCCCAGGTCGCAGCGAGGTTGTTACATGCCACGTTCATGCTCTTTGCTGGCATGTGTGTTGTGCTTCCTCCCTGTCTCCATGCGCCTGGGGCCTTTCATGACACTGGAGGTGGGTGCGGCCAGGCCCCCGCAGGAGTGTGCCGCGGCCAGGCCCTGGCTGCTGTTGGGAGAGGGAGGTGCATGAACGTGCGCGCTCTCACTGTGTTCTCGTCTCCCTTTTGCCAACAGAGCGTGCAGCATGAGAACACATATAGGGACCCCGTAGCCAAGTACTGCTACGGAGAGAGCCCCCCTGAACTCTTCCCTGCGTGATGGGTGCAGAAGATGTGCTGCCTGAGCAAGGCCATGCTGAAGTTGGAACTCGCAGCCTGAAGCCAGGCCGCGGCGTCCTCCGGCCCGTTGAGGAGATGGGGCGCTGTGCGGAGACCTTGGCTGTGGCCATGTCTCGTGTTGTCCTCTGGCTTCACTCCCCGCCTGGTCTTACCAGCTGGAGCTGTTCTGGGAACCAGCCTAGAACCCCAGCGGTCACTCTCCGAAAAGAGGTGTGGCCAGCCATGGTGTGGGTGCTCCTGGGTGCTGCCGCTGGGGTTTGCAGCTGCCCCTGCGGGACCTGTGGCTGCTCGATTCTCATCCGGGCCTTCACTCTGAAGTTATTTATTGGATATTTTGGGAATAGTGGGAAAATTGCAATGTTTTATATAGGAAAATGCCTTGCCTCTAGAGTTGAATATATTCATGAAAATTGTTTTGTGTTCTTGAGTTTCATGACTTACCATTGTCCTTTTACCCAGATAAAATATTTGACCTCTTAGGCGTTCTCTCAAGGTATAGTTGCTTTGGGTTTTGTTTTAGCAACATCTTCAGGAGTGGGCCCTGAACCCCGCGTCCTACCCAGAGGAATAGTCTAGAACCTCGAAGCTGCAGTTGTGCTAAGGTGGGGTGGCCTTCCAGACGCGGCACGGGGTGCCCGTAGCTTCTTTCCAGCAGGCTTTCACTGTGCTTGTGTGCACATGCCAGCACCCCTGACCCAGAAATTCTGACCCACTGTCCTGGGGCCTTTGTCCCCAGTCCTGTGCCTCTTGAAAGGCCTGGGACAGCGTGCGCCTCAGGAAAACCCGCAGCTTCTTCCCCTCGCCTCCACATGGAAGCCCTGTGTTAAGGCGATTTCTGAGCAGAGCTACATGTAGCACCTGGCTGTAATGGACTGTCCTTTATTGCTTCCTACTTTGGGTGGATAACATGTCGAAACTTGGCTTCCCAGTGATTTGCAAAGAAGAAACCTAGCCTTGTGGTTGGGAACTTAGGTCTGCCTGCATGGGGACTGTGGGTGACCACGGGGCTGCAGGCTGCTGGGCCATCTGTGAGATCCCCCCATGCAGTATGACATGAAGTCTTTCTGGGTCAAGGGGAACAGGGACTGTCCTCAGGTCAAGATGCTGTGTCCCTCGCACAGCCACTGTCTGGTCTCAGGAGTCACTGGGACAGACCACCTTACCTGGCGGCCTCCTTGGCCCCAGGACTGGGCACGGTCTCTTTTAGTTTTTGGCTGTTCAGGTTGCTGACCTGGTCCAGGCACTGGTTTCACCATCGCTCTCAACAGTTTTTTTCCCCCATTGGATCCTTTTCTTGGGACCTCATTGGCCTTCCAGTATATTCTGCAGTATGTCGTCATAGCATCCTAAACCCCTGTTAGTGCATACACTCATCTTCCCAGAGTAGTCTGTTCTCCTAAATAAACGTTTTTAATATTAGATCCCAAGAAATCTACCCAGTTTCCACTGCACTCTGTGCTTGCTGCGTGTACTCCCCAGCACTCAACAGGCACGCAGGTGGAAGGCGTGTGCCAGTGCCTGTCTCCTCCTCTCCAGTGCTCCGCGGCTCCTGAATGTCTCTTGCCGATTGTCACTAGGACCAGCCTTCTTGGTGTGTATTTGAACTCCTGAGCAACATGTAACACATTTAACATAAAGACAGTTTCTACCTCAGATCAACTCAAATCTGTTTCGCGTTTCCAGGGCTTTTGCCATCAGTACCCACGACTGTGTGAGAGAAGGTTAATCTCAATGTATCCCTCAGCTCGAAGGTGAAGAAACCGAACCTGGAGTGACTTCCCAAGTCCCTGCTGAGATGGGCAGAACCAAAACAAAACAAAAACTTCACCGCCAGGCCCGCTGGCCTTTCTGCCACCTCACTGCTCTAGCGCTGACTCCCGGAAACCTCTCCCAGGAAAGCAACTAGTTTTCAGTTGTCCAGGAGCAAGTGGGGGGAAGGCGGCCCAGAGAGCCACACTGGTCAGTAATCCAGAGGTCATTTCACTTCATTCTGGAATGTGTTTTGTACTTAGTAAAGTAGGGGCGTTTGCAGTTTTGGAAGCTCACCAGGCTGCAGACTATGATGACGCCCCCAAAAAACCCCACTCCCTAGCCCTCCAGCCCTGCATCCCTACCTGCTGTCCACACTGTTCTGTTCCTGGAGCGCTTGACTGGGGGTTTCTAGAACAGGGACCCGAGTATGTCAAAGTCTAGCAAAATGTGTGCTATCTGCTAGGATTCTAGGAAAAGGTCAGAGAAGGGGTAAAAACAAACTTAATTTACACAGAAAATTTACTAGTTATTAAAGGTTTGGGGCTAACAGTAATTGGGTGATTGAGCCGTTTTGCCCAATTCTGATTCACTGGAACTGTTAGCTCCCTGCCTTAACAGGGAAGGCAGCACACAGGTGCCCTCAGTTCCTGCGCCAGGTCTGGTACTGGTGGCCTGAGATGGAGGGATGTTGGGGTGGTGGGGCAGATCCCCTGGGGCTGTTCTAGGAAACACAGCTGCTAGGATTCTGCAGCTCCTTGGAGCTGACTTGGGGCCCCTCGCTTCAGTTGGTGTGGCCGCAAGGGAAGCGTTGCCAGGTCCCAGGCAACGGTTTCCCAATCACTGGACTCACAGATTGGATCGTTGGTGTGCAGTGATGTGCTTACTGGGTCTGCTCTCCTTGGGAGGGGATCGGCTAGCCAGCAGTGTGGCCGTGGCCCTCCTCCGTTCCCGTCTAAGTTTCAGGCCCATCATCCATCGAATGGGCTTGCCTCCACCTCTCAGGTGGCCGAGGACCTGGAGAGGGCCCCTGGGTGGCACACAGCCTATGTCTGCTCGGCTGGTGGGGACCCCTGGGCCTCAGGAGTCGGGTGGTGATGACAGGGCTCTTGCTATTTTTGCTTGTACTTTTTAAAGAACTTATGCTGAAACTTAAAAAGAATTTCAGGTAATGTGGAAATATGTAAAGGTGGAAATCATAACCTCCAGTCACATGACCAAGAGATAAGCCCAATCTTTTTTCTCTTTCCTCCTGACTTTCTTCTTTTTCTTTTATTTCCCATTGTCACCTAGTTTTTTTTTTTTTTTAATTTATAACAGTTTATTTTTACATCATTTTGTACATTTTTTTCCCCCATCTCAATTGTACCCTGCGGGTCACCAAGTCACCCGTGTGCCATCACCATAATCCCATGCACTTCCTACCCCACCCCCCCCGTTTTTGGTCCCATTCCCCACTCCACCCCCACA